GATATTGCGCATGCGCTAACACTTAAACGTAGTCAGATTGTATACTGGCTGGTATACCGCAGGCGACAGATATCCACATCCAAGTGTGACTTTAGGCACCTCGTCCCACGCCGCCGGGCTCCAGCACCGGTCAGCTCAGTCCGACAATAACCCTTCCGCGACCGAAAAATAGTTCTTTTTGTTTACCTATTTTAGTAATGCTGAAACAAGTTCGGTGGTATATGCCGATGGTTATTACCATAGGCAAGCTATAGCATTAAATAGGAAAAACAAGACAAGCGCCAGTGCAGCACTCGGTAAATTATTAGTAGCACGTTATTATAGTGGTTGCCGGCGTTATATTTGTATGCGCCGGGAGCATAAGGCCACCTATATAGAATTGTAATAATAGTGTATGATGGGGGCCCACGGCCACATATATAGTGTTAGTATGACGGGGCCTAAGGCCACCTATATATAGAATTGTAATAATAGAATAGTGTATGATGGGGCCCAAGGCCACATATATAGTATTTGTATGGCGGGGGCAAAAGCCATCTATATAGTATTGTAATAATAGAATAGGATATGAATGAGGGCCCAAGGCCACATATATAGTATTGTATATTGACGGTGGCCTAATTGCCATCTATATAGTATTGTAATAATAGATAGTGTATGATGGGCGCCCAGGCCACATATATAGTATTTGTATGGCGGCGTTCCTAAAGCCACCTATATATAATTGTAATAATAGAATAGTGTATGATGGGGGCCCAAGGCCACATATATAGTATTAGTATGACGGGGCCTACGCCACCTATATAGAATTGCTAATAATGAATTAGTGTATGATGGGGGCACAAGGCCACAATATATAGTATTTGTATGGCGGGTGCCTAAAGCCACCTATATAGAATTGTAATAATAGAATAGTGTATGATGGGCGCCCAAGGCCACATATATAGTATTTGTATGGCGGGTGCCTAAGGCCACCTATATAGTATTGTAATAATAGAATAGTTTATGATGGGGGCCCAAGGCCACATATATAGTATTGTATTATGACGGTGGCCTAATGCCATTATTATAGTATTGTAATAATAGAATAGGGTATGATGAGGGCCCAAGGCCACACATATATAGTATTTTGTATGACGGGGGCCTAATGCCACCCTATATAGAATTGTAATAATAGAATAGTGTATGATGGGGCGCCCAAGGCCACATATATAGTATTTGTATGACGGGGCGTAAGGCCACCTATATAGTATTGTAATAATTGAATAGTTTATGATGGGGGCCCAAGGCCACATATATAGTATTGTATATGACGGTGGCCTAATGCCATCTATATAGTATTGTAATAATAGAATAGGGTATGATGAGGGCCCAAGGCCACATATATAGTATTTGTATGACGGGGGCCTAAGGCCACCTATATAGAATTGTAATAATAGAATAGTGTTAGGATGGGGGCCCAAGGCCACATATATAGTATTTGTATGACGGGGGCCTAAGGCCACCTATATAGTATTGTAATAATAGAATAGTTTATGATGGGGGCCCAAGGCCACATATATAGTATTGTATATGACGGTGGCCTAATACCAAATCGATATAGTATTGTAGTATAGTGTATGCTGGCGGCCCACCAAGGCCACATATATAGTATTTGCTGTGTATGAAGGGGGCCGAAGGCCTCCTACATAGTAGTGTGTGGTAAGCCTTGGTTGTAAGTTATACCGCATCCAGCAAAGAAAAGTAGGCTGCATCACTTGCACAGTGTATTATTGAGCCAGCGGGGCCCTAGGCCCCCGGTGGCTTAAGGCCACACTTGGATGTGGATATCTGTCGCCTGCGGTACATACCGCTCCTGCGCATGCGCGGTCCGTGCTGACCCGACCATTCATCGCTCCGGGGGGAGGGGGGCAGGTAGGCGGCATGTGGTCAGCTATCTGCACCACATATTCCAGACTCCACGACAGATGGCGCTCTGGTTCTGGCTCTGTATCATGAGTTGTGCGAAGGGGGTGCTGCATGCAGTTTGTACATATTCGTGATCAGCCATGAACCATGCTGACCTTCTACCCCGAGCAGCAGCAACAGCAGCTAACACGAAAACCCGCCTGTATGTGGTTCTAACATGCCTGCTCACGCTGAGTGTTCTCATACATCTAAACGGTAGGCGTGTGACTCTAAACTCTTGCTTCTATGCGCGTTTTCTTCTTCTTTCTATTAACATCTATATATATTTGGGACCTGCATATGTTTATTTGTATTGCTGACACCAGGTTCATGTAGACTCAGACTTATTTGCATGTAGTTCATTTATAGTTTATTTATTTTTATACATCGCTCATATATAGTTTTGTAATTATCAATCGAATTGTCATTCATGGATTAACTTTCTGAAATTAACTTTATATTGCGGAGTGGCTGACTTGAAGACTGTAGGCCTACAGTCAATTCTCCCTCCGTCGCTGCGTTTATTTAAAAATCGTTGTGACATTTATCTAACCATGTAATACTTGCGGCCCCGCGTTGCGTTGTTGTAGTCATATAATACGTTTATTACATGTTTTATTTTATTTTATTTATTTATTTATATTATTGTAAATGACGAAAAAACGTGTTCGGTGACGTCACGGGGTTGCGTCAGGGTCACGAGTGAAGGTCGCGCGCTGTGTGTGTGTGCAGACTAGCAGAAATCGCGGGCGGGGGAAATGTCACCAGGATAACGGAGTTTTCCCCTTTGTAAAAAATACGTGTATTCTGACGGGCTCTCGTCTTGCTCTTTTTACTTGTGACTTTACTGTTTATTGTTTTTGTTTACTGTTGCCGTTGCAATTTTATTTGCAAGTTAATTGTTAATTCGAGGTTATTATAATTATAATAATACAATGGGATACCCAGCGTTGCTAGGGTTCATTTCTCGATGAGACTTTATTCAGATACATTAAAGTACAAATGAATGAATACTATTACGCTTACTATACAGTAATAATGCAATCGCCAAGTAAAGGCGCGTCTAGTCTGTATATAAGCTTTATATTAAAAGTAATTATTAGTAATAGAGTATTATTGGTATAGTTAGTATAGTAATTATTAGTATAGTTAGTATAGTAATTATTAGTAATTATTAGTAATTTTTAGTAGTTTATAGCTTTATAGTATAAGCTATATAAGTTATATATAGTAAATTTACGTGCGTTTGTAAGTTTACGTAGTACGTCTGTATTAGAGAGAAGGTCAAGTACTGTGGCGTTAGAGCTTCGTCTGGCTTCGACATGCACCTAGCATCGCATGCTGCGAGTTCATTTCTCTTGCTGACTGGCCTGTTTGTGAAATTCCCCCAGTAAATCGAAAAGTCCCCTCTCTCCTGGCCTGTACGTGAAATTCCCCCACTAAATCGAAAAGTCGCTCTTTCCTTTCCTCTACCATTAAACTCGGATTGTACGTGGACCCTTCGTATTGAGGTTGTTTTGCGTGTTGAATATTAAAGTCGTGGTTGAACGCACTGAATTATAACTGAACCACGCTACTAGTGCTGCTGCTTCTATTGTTTTTGGTGGTGGTGGTGGTGGTGGTGGTGGGAGGTTGTGTTTCTTGTTCTACATGTTGTGTTTGCTGTACGCACGATGTACGCGCGCGAAGTGAGATTGCGTATCGCTAGAGATGCTTAGAGATTGCTTAGAGATTGTAGGAAGTAGTAGATGTCGGTCCGTTTATTTCATCGACCTATCTATCCATCTATCTTATCCCATCGTAACCAAACCGATGCGATCCCATTACCCCAGTGTTATATGCCAATAGTGTTATATGCCAATAGTGTTATATGGCAATAGGGTTATATGCCAATAATGGTATATGCCAATAGTGTTATATGCCAATAGTGTTATATGCCAGTAATGTTATATGCCAATAAGTGTTATATGCCAATAGTGTTATATGCCAATAATATTATATGCCAATAGTGTTATATGCCAATAGTGTTATATGCCAATAATATTATATGCCAATAGTGATATATGCCAATAATGTTATATGCCAATAGTGATATACGCCAATAGTGTTATATGCCAATAGTGTTATATGCCAATAGTGTTATATGCCAATAATATTATATGCCAATAGTGTTATATGCCAATAATGTTATATGCCAATAGTGTTATATGCCAATAGTGTTATATGCCAGTAATGTTATATGCCAATAGTGTTATATGCCAATAGTGATATACGCCAATAATGTTATATGCCAATAGTGTTATATGCCAATAGTGTTATATGCCAATAATATTATATGCCAATAGTGTTATATGCCAATAATGTTATATGCCAATAGTGTTATATGCCAATAGTATTATATGCCAATAATGTTATTTATATATTAATGCCTGTTGTTGGGGGCACTATGACAGCATAGTGCCCCAACAACAGGCATTAATGCATTTTAGTGCATCACGATGACTTTGCATCTACTTGGCAAATATGAAGCTGAATAAGACAAAGTTTCTTAAACGAACAATTTCACAATTTGTATTACACTGTCTACGTCCACGAATTTTCTAGCACCAGCAAGTAGTATATTTGTGGTGTATATTTGTACAAAATAAAATGTATGAAAAAATACAATTAGTGTTTCTATTTACTTTTCAATGGCTTATATACCTTCTTTATACTCCTTTAATTTGCCGGTGCATTCGATGTAATAAAACGCTCGACACAAACCAACCGCCTATTATTCGAAACTCTTGCGTGGCGCCCAGACGCAGGGAGATTCGTGACGTTAACACAATGCGTTATAATAACAATGCGTCCCGCGCAAGCAATAGTGCCCGCTCAGGCGGGCACTATTGATTCATAGTGCCTGCTGCGTTATCCAATGGAATTTCAACGATTTATCACGTGATGCACTAAATGCCAATAGTGTTATATGCCAAATAGTGTTATATGCCAATAATATTATATGCCAATGAGTATTATATGCCAAATAGTATTATATGCCAATAATGTTATATGCCAATAGTGTTATATGCCAATAGTGTTATATGCCAATAATATTATATGCCAATAGTATTATATGCCAATAGTATTATATGCCAATAATGTTATATGCCAATAATGTTATATGCCAATAATGTTATATGCCAATGCGTCAATACCCTGTCAAACTACAGCTACTCGTCAGAGCTTCCAGAGAGTGCAATTTCGGTGATGTTAAAGATTTTTGTTCACACCTACGCGAAAATCTACAAATGTTATATTTATAATTTATAATTTAATGATTTAAAAATATAATTAATGTAATGATTTTATAATTTAAAAATATAATACATTTTATAATTTTATAGTTTTATAATTGTTTTCATCTCGCCACAGGTTTCCCGTACGAGACACCATTCGACGCTGATCGCTACGTGGCGCCACTAGCACCACCGATGCGACCAGCAGCGCCTCTCGCGGACACCGTCGACAACACGCTGCTCGCCTACATCCGAGAGCAGTGCGACGGGTTAGACCGCGTCATGGCCGAGATACCGTTGTCATGGAAACGCATGTACCTGGCGCCGAAATACAATCTCGCCTACTGCACGGTGCCGAAAATCGCAAGCACCACGTGGAAGCGCGCGCTCGTCGCCCTGGGCAAAGCGCCACCTGACGGCAAAGTCGACATGAAGCAGTTCGACGTGCTTCCGCGCGGGTTCGTGCATATCGATCGCAATGTCGGCCCCTACCTCCGCCTAGCGAGTGACGTCATCGAAGATAAGAGCAAGATTGCCACCGTGCTTGACTCGTACACGGCGTTCATGTTCGCGCGTCATCCGTTCACTCGTCTGCTGTCGGCTTACCGAGACAAGGTCGCAGACGACGCCGACTCGCCGTCGTACCGCCGCTTGCTTTTCCCACGGCGCGCAAACAACAACAACAACAACACAACAACAGCAGCACAACAACAACGACAACGTCGGCGACTCCGTCAGCTTTCTCGCAGTTTCTGACGTACGTCGCCGACACGCCGACGCGTCGCCTGGACCGCCACTGGGGCGCCATTCGTCGATCTATATCCACTTCGACTACGTCGGCAAATACGAAACGCTGAGCGACGACAGCGCCGAACTGCTGCGGCGGACGAATCTCGATGACGTCATCGTTTTTCCCGAGCGCAACGCGTCGTACAAGCGGGCGACGAGTAGCGATGACGTCACGCTGATGCGGGAGTTTTACGGACGCGTGCCGCTGGAGTTGGGGAGGAGGTTGTACGAGAAGTACGAGTTGGATTTTCTCATCTTCAACTACACGTTTCCGGAAGATTTGTTCGCGCGCTAGAGACGCGTATAGGTGCGTGTGTGTGTGTTGCGTGTGTGTGTGTATACACCGTCTATTCTCTTACTCCACGACAGGCGCGAGTTTGTGTGTTACGTGTGTGTGTGTGCTGTTGCTGTGTGTGTGTGTGTGTGTGCCTGTGCTGTGTGTGTGTGTGCGTGAGTGTGTGTAGTGGCTGTGTGCGGCAACTGTGTGGTTGTGTGTTTGTTCATTCTGCCTGCTGCGGTGTGCGTGCGTTGCGGCGCGTACTGTGTGTGTATTGTGTGCGTGATTGCGTGCGCGTGTTGCAGTCTGCATGTGTGTAGATCGCTGCGTTGCATGTGTGGTGTGGGCGCGTGGCGTGCGTGCGTGGCGTGTGCTGTGCGTGCGGGACTGGAGTGCTATTCCCAGCTACTAATAGACGTTTCAAACGTTGCAGGGATTTTGTAGTTGGTCTATGTCAGAGAAAAAACGTGCAGCAACGTTCAGCAAAGTACCCAGCGCACGAAACCGTTTACACTAATACCTTATCACAACTACACATATAGGTATAACACGCGCAACTCCCGTCATAGCTCCTAGTCACAGCTATTCAAGCACGCGAGTACACAGTGTAATTAAAGAGCAGTGGCTAAATCACCTTATGCATGGACCCGGACGTCTCACGAGGTTTGTGTTGTGCGTGTGTGTGTGGGTGTGTGTGTGGTGTGCGGTGGGTGGGTGCGTGGCGTGTGGTCGTGCAGTGCTGTGTGGGTTGGATCTGTGGGCTGCGTATGTGCGTGTCGCGTGCTGCGTGTGCGTGTGCGTGTGCGTGTGCGTGTGCGTGTGCGTATGTGCGTGCGTGTGTTAACCAGGGTAGTTGACAGTATCTATTGCGGATTAATTGGTATGTGATATTACAGTATATCTAAAGTAGTCTGTGTGATGGCAACCAGATGGAAAGTGTTTAAATAAATTTATACTTGTTTACAAAATAATAACGAACGACATATCGTGCTTTCACTGACGAAATAAATCAAAAGTATGGAATAATACTAGCTTTGTGCATGCGATGCATGTGATATGGAACGTTTACCTGCATTCCGCATTTACCTATAATACAAATTTACCTGTAATCAATATTTACCCGTATTCTGCATTTACTTGTAATCAGCATTCACCTGTGTTTACGTATGACACTCAACGTGACACCATGCAGTGACACTGCCGCCGCCGATGACACTTGACCCTCCTCTCTCTCCCCCCACACCCACCCTCCCCTCCCCCGGGGAAATACACGGACCTGTTTGTAGTGAGGTGCGGGTGCTGTAATACTGTGTTTGATCTGAGCACGTACATGCATGTCTAGAGGGCAAGATGTTTACACCATACCCGAAAATATGCGCCGTGACACATGAATGGCTGGCGAAGATTAATCAGTACACCATCATTACAAGGTAAATCAAGGCAAAANAAGGGTCAACCTAGCATATGACAAAATTCCATACGTTGACCTCAATTGAGAAATAGGAAGCAGACCTTGCATGTAAGGTCCCCGCTGCATATATATACAAGTTAGTATAACCTGAATACTGTTTTAGCACATGCGCAATATCTCACCAGAGTAGTTAGATTTTGTTATTAAAATGCATTTAGTATGGTCAGAGGGTATCTCGGTAGAGGTTTCAGCAATAAATTGTTATCAGTAGACCTGTGTTTATAATTAGGAGAGCGCCATAGCCTGTAGGGTGCAAAACTCCTTCATCCGCGCCCGCCCTTTCCCTTGTCTCCGTTGACGCACGCTCAGCCTCCTCCTTCTTCCACCGCACCTCAGCTATCTTCCCTGCCGCCTTCCAACAGTCTCTCACCCCTCTCCCTCTTACCAGGCCATATTTACGTACTTTCCCGTTAGCCGTATTGCACGTCTGAAACGCAGGCCACAGATATCCACATCAAAGTGTGGCTTTAGGACACCTCGTCTCCCGCCGGTGGCCTCCGGTGAGCATATGTTTTCATGAACCAAAGTATCCTCGTGACGTACACTGACGTCACGCACGAACTGAGCTATCTCCGAAGTTGAATGCATACAGCCTGCGGATGGTGCTGGTGGTTGCGCATGGTCATATTCCATACTACGCATATCAACTTCCGCATCAGACTTTCCGTATTTCAAAGAATGATGCAAAAATCCTAACCCTAACCCTAACCCTAACGCCAACCCTAACCCTTGAAACCAACTATAAACCGACTAGGCTATCTTATATACTATCTATGGTATTCCAAACACTATCTATGGTGTATAGATAGCCACTGACGTCACACTGACGTACACTGACGCCACGAGGATACTTTGGTTCATGGAAACATATGCCCACTGTGGCCTCCAGCCCCCGTCAGCTCACTCCGACAATAACCCTTCCGCGACCAAAAATAGTTCTTTTTGTTTACGTATTTGAGTAATGCTAAAACAAGTTACCGTGGTATATGCCGATTGTATTACCCATAGGCATAGATATAGCATTAAATAGGAAAAACAAGACAAGCGCCAGTGCAGCACACGGTAAGTTATTAGTAGCACGTGTATAATTGTATGGCCGCGCACAGTGTTAGACAGTGTGCAGTGCCGTCTGAGGAAAACTTCATAATATAGCTTGCTGCGGGGGAGAAGGGATGGGAGACTGAGGAAAAGCGGCAGGGAAGATAGCCCGGGGCGGTAGAAGAAGAAGGATGTTGAGCGAGGGACATTGGAGGCAAGAGGAAGGACGCGAGGGAATAAAGTAGGTGTTTTGTACCCTACATGATAGGGCGCTCAACTAATTATAAACACAAGTCTACTGATAAAAGTTAATTAGGGAAATCTAAGCGGAGATACTCCCTAACCATATTAAATGCATATTCATCACAAATTATAACTTCTTTGGTGAGATATTGCGCATGCGCTAGCACACTAACGTAGCCAGATTGTGTACTGGCTGGTATACGCAGCCCTGACCTTACATGCAAGGTCTTCCTCCTATTTCTTAAATAATGTCTACTGATGGAATGTTATCATATAAATCTATGCTAGGATAACTCCTCTTCATTTCAAACGCATAATCTGTGCAAAATACGATTTCTCTCGGTAGATATTGCGCATGCGCGCGCACCGTGTTAGGCGTGCAGTGCCGTCTGAGGAAAACATCGTAATATAGCTTGCTGCGGGAGAGAGGAAATGGGAGACTGAGGAAAGGCGGCAGGGAAGATAGCTGGGGGCGGTAGAAGAAGAAGGAGGCTGAACAAGGGGCAGGGGAGGCAAGGGGGAGGACGCGAGGGCATAAAGTAGGTGTATTGTACCCAACATGCTAGGGCGCTCTCCTAATTATAAACACA